GTCTCTATTCTATTCTCTACCTTTTGTAACTACATTCAATCCGTCAAGATGCCATCGGACAAGAAGAAGAGCAAGGACAAGAAGATCAAGAAGTCTGGAGTGCGAACAAAGTTTTTGATTGAATCGTTGCGTCAAGAGTACTATGACTTGCGTTCGGAGAATGACATGCTGCGAGGCATTGTCGAGGAACACTTGCCCAAGGACGTGGCTGGACCTCTTCTAGCCGAATGCTTTGATCCTACATCGGCATCCTCCAAGGTCAGCTCCATTGATGACCTCGCCAACAAAATGTCGGGAGTCTCTACCAAAGATGATGACTCGGATGATGAAGATGATGCTGTTGGTTTCTAAACTATGTATTACAAAAGTGACACTGTGACTCTTACTACGAGTGGTTGTGGATGTGTGAGAAGAGGTTGTGGCGGTCTTGTCACTATCGGTGTGCTTGTGGAGGGTACCAAAAGAAAGGGATGACCAGAGTTGTTGGGTCATCCCTGACAGAGCACAGGACAAGCAGCCACACCCAAGAAAAAATCAAATAAAAATAATAAAAGGATCTACTTTTTTGATTCCCCTCTTCTCTACTATCCAGTATCCAGTATCGCTCGTCGGTTGTTGTGCAGCCAGGCGAATGCAGAGTAGCTCTCTGCCACCGGGGGTTACACCTCCGGAAAACCCCTGATTTCTCAGTCTCAGTCCAGGTTGCTATCGCTATCCGAATTGATGGAAAGCGGAAGAAGTCTGAGTAGTAGCTGCACCGCGTTGCCCGAATCCTCGTACCATTTGGTTCCTCGAATTGTTTTTTCCCTTCTTTTGTATAAGAGAAGGAGGGCGCCAATCTAGTTGCTTCCTGGCTCACGCTCAACACCGGTTCGTTCTGTAAACCCGACGCAACCCATGGCCGCCGAGGATAGGATATCCCAACAATCCCGAGGAAGCTAGCTAGATACCAGCGCCCGGTGATGAAAACTTACCTAGATGAACTGTACTTAATTTCCCTACTCTAAAACCCCGTTATGTACTATCGGTGGCTTTGGCTGGCTGGCCGACTGACTCAAGTCGAGTCAACACCGTTGGTTTGTGGCTTCCTCCGTGAGAGCTGCCTCCTGCCTGTCACAAGAACTTGCAGCCTGGCTGGGGCTGTATACCCAAGCCCACGAGGACAAACGAGGATTGGAAGCATTGGAAGTTGTCCCAAGTCCAGCCACAGCTCTTACTACGTTGTACGGCAACCTCAAGATGTACCACCAACCCACCACCACCCTTTCTTTTGCCTCCGAATCGCCCCTTTTCTTTGGCAGGATTAGTGAGCCACGCACAATGAGCCACTGTACCACCGTTCCCGCTGTGATGCCTATGGCTGGTGTACTTGCCACCTTCCCCTGTGATGCCTCCTGTCCCATCCCACCTTCACCTATGATTCGATTCTTCCTTTCGGCCCTCTCTTCCCCCTTTGCCCCCATACCGGTACCCCCACACTTGCTTCCGATCCCCACCACAGCTACCTCCGCTGCGTGTATCCGGCGCCTCCACCCTTTTTAATATGGGACGATTTCAAAACGTCCTTAAACATGCTACGACGAAAACCGGTAAATTGTCTTTTGAGTCGTCATTTTAAGTAAATTGTCAAGGACGATAAATATTGATATTTTTATATTTTAAATAGTCGATGAGGTCAATGGCTTTTTAAATCTTAAGCTGCAAGGGAGGATTTAGTAGACAACTCCAGTGTCTCAGTACGTGTATCAATTGCGACCGCCATGAGCCTTCGATCATGTACCTCCATGTCCAGGCGCCACGATCATGCCTGGTGTGCTTTGTTGGAACAATAATCATGAGATCATCTATCTTCAACTCCAGCAGAAGTAGCTAGCAGATAGATAGTCTAGTAGCTGGTAGAAAGAGCAAGAGTTATACCGAAGATGTTGTCAACACGTGCGCTGAAACGACAGTGGGGATGCTGGTCCTTTTTGTTCTGGAGCTTCCTTCTCTTAGTGCCATGTGCGGACACTACGTCCATCCCACGCCAAGACCGCGATTTGATTGTGAATGGTGTTGTGCCAACCGACAACTCGACCGCGTTTCCTTGGTTTGTCTTTAACCGATTTGGTCGAAGCCGTGGTTGTGGCGGCACATTGATTCACAAGGACATTGTCCTGTCGGCAGCTCATTGTCACAATGTCTTTCAGGACCGTGGGTTGTATGTGGGAGGAACGACCGACTACGGCATGGATGGCACCTTTCACGAAGATGAAACGGTCGTGGTACACCCGTCGTTTGATGGAGACACGCTGGCCCATGATTTGCTATTGGTCAAACTAGAGACATGGAATCCACAAGCAGCCACTGTGACTTGGGGTTTCGACGACAGCAATACTAATAATGACACGGATGATATTATACTGACCCCGCAGACAGGGCAAGAAGTACTGGTGATTGGATTTGGTACTACCTTAGAAAATGGACCTCTTTCACTGGATTTGCTGCAAGCCACGGTCCATATCACCGATCAAGAGTTTTGTCGAGACTACTACCAACAGAACTATGACACACCCGTTACCGATGATCAAGTCTGTGCCATGGACAATGCTACCACCAATGCATCCTCCATACAAGACGCCTGCTACAACGATTCTGGAGGACCCCTGTTGCAGCAACTCGCAGACGGTAGTTTCCAACAAGTTGGCATTATCATCTTTAGCATTGGCTGTGCCAGACCCAATGTCCCTGCCGTTTATGTTCGACTGAATGCTTACAAGGACTGGATCCAACAGGGAATTTGTGAACTCTCCTACGATCCACCCGTCTGGTGTGATACTATTACTACTACTAGAAGCAATTACAGCTTTACAACAGTTCCATCACCAGGACAATCCGCTTCCACGACGAATCCTGGATCGTCTGGTGTCAGCAGCAATGATCGAGCTGTTCCGGGTGCTGTGCCGACCACGGCTCCAACACAAGAAGATTCGACAATCGTTTCCACTGATCTAGATCTACCGAGCAGCAGTGCCACGGCCTCACTCCAGTGGTGGCCTGTCTCGAGTAGTACGGTGGCATTGGCGATGCTATTGCTTTTCGGATGAAATGAAAACACGCGAATACCATGGACCATCATTGGATCCAAAGAGCGCACGTAACCAACAGTGAGGGGCGTTGCGTTCCGAGACACATCCATGGAGAACGATTGACGTTGCTTGGGTGGGGACCTTTTGTCGTTCCGTAGCTTGCGCAAAAGCGAACACAACACGACACATGACCGTAGACGATGAAACTCTAATGTCAAATCTGCTGCTGCAAACAAGGAGCAAATCATTGGATGGCGAGTCGAGTCGAGTCGAGTCGAGTCGAGTCGAGTCAAAGCCTAGTGGCTACATTCTGATCGCAATCCTTGAAAAAGCTTGTGGACTTGGACGCCCTTTCATGTGCGAAGAACCTGTGATGCATCACATCCCATGACCGCACGTTGGCCCTGCGGCGATCGCTCAGATGTCGATCCAAGAGGCGCGAGTACTGGTTTCTGTCCGAATGGGGACGTTCGTCATTCGCTGGTCGTTTTGTATCACGAAGAAAGCTAGCTAGAAAATGCAGAATTGACTTAGTTTTTATCGTAAGAGGCTTTGGGGAGGAGATTAGGAGGATGAGGGTGGAATTTCTCTTTTTCCTGGCCTGTAAGGTAGCTGTCACTATAAAGATCGAATCGAATCGAATCATTGATTGAATTCACAAAGGGGTTGTCACACAAACACCCAACACAACAAACATGTACTGCTCTTTCATTGGAAAGATCTCGTCTATCATCGGTACTTTTCTTTCGCCCACGCAAAGTGCCATTTTATACAATCAATGCGGGGACATGATCCGGCAATCCCGTGGCCGAGAAGCACTCCGCTCGGTAGGTGTCGTATTCAGTGGTGTGCCGCATCATTTGTGCCGCAGTACAGCAGGAACAAAAGAGCGCCATGCATCCATCTTCACATCCCGTCGGACAGCTCTCCGATTCCGGAATGGCGTACTTGGATCGAATGTAGGAGCTGATCCAAACAAAACCGCAGCAGTAAATAATTAGAACACTCAAAACGACCACACTGTTCCATGACTCTGATCAACATATATTACTCACCGCAAATTGTAAATGACGACGGCACTGAATAGGTAATAGGCGTAATTGACGATATCACTCATCATGGCAAAGGGTGCGATGGAGTCGGGTGGTGGTTCTTCCGGATCCTCGGGCATCATGCTCATGATGATGAGAAAGAGTCCAATTTTGACGGAAAAGTACGTCATGGAAATGGTAAACAATGTCGTGAATGCCGATGCCTTTTCGGCGTGACTATTGGTGGTTTTGCCCAACCAATTGAGTTGAAGTCGTGAAATGACTTGTCCCGCCGCCAATGCATGACACCACCAACTAATGCAGCAATGGGCATGACACATGCCGTACGTGCAGCAATCGCAGAGTCCATCTTTCCAATGGCCGACCGGAACTGTCATTTTGGGAGTAGAGGTTGCTGCTGCGTTTGTGGGAGACATGGGGACGCTGAATTTTTGTCCCTTTTCGACGCCACCGGGAGGAATGGTGATTGTCACGACGCGATCGCCCACTTGCGTGTCCAACTGATAGCCTTCCATCAGCGTGGCGGGGGCCATGATTTCAATCATGGGCTGTGATTGATATTGTTGTTGCGTGGATGGATGGATCAAAGGAAATCCAGTAGATTGTTACATTTTTACAGGTCCAGCAGAAAAAGCAAGGCCAGAGACAGAGCCAAAGAGGAGGAAGAGAATCAGGGGGTGAGAAATCGAAACAAAAAAGCCAAAAAGCAAACGTCCTCAGAACAAGCACCATGACATGCTCTTCCGAATCACCACAGACAATCGTCTTCTCTCGCACAAACAACCCTTGCGCGAACCCGTCAACTCACCACAGCCGATGCTGGTTTGGCCACTTCCTCAGGCGATGGTGCCACCAGCGAAACCCCCATTTCGTCACCTTGGTTCACTTGCCCATAGCTTCCCAATCCATCTTTCGAGTTCATTGTCGCTTGCTCTCTCTCTTTTGAATGTATCGCTTTCTTTCGTTCGAATGTCAGTACAGTTCTCAATCCCAAATGGTTGCCAGATGCTGTCCAGTCGTGGCAGTCACGCTGTCTTGCTTTCGATTTTCCCTTGACTGCTACAGCTGTTCTCTTTTCTTTCGCAGGTTGTTTGTCGTTGTTGTAACCAAGCAAACAACAAGCTTCGTCCTGTTTTCTCTCCAGTCTTCGACAGCGCTGACACGGGATCTCACAAACGATTGATGATGCTGTCTGAACACAGCAGCAAAGCACTCAACTCAACTCGCTTCGTTTATGTATGTACGACTTTATGTGACCAGCACAGATGAGATGCTGCTTTGGATCCAACACGGAGCTTTCGCTTTGACGGAGTTTTCATTTCCACGCCACGTCCGGCACGCTCGTAGCGTGACAAAGCACTATCTTTGCTTAAGCCTGGCCCCGGCTGGCTTCCGTAGCTAATTTCCCTCCTCTAAACCCCCTTATATATGCGCTATCTGTCAAACAGTAAAGCGAGACCCGTGCAGTTGGGTACCCAATTTTTTGGATGCTATGGTGATTATTGTGGATCATGTAGACTAGCTAGCTACTAGTGTGGCCGTCTCAGCTTTTTGTATCCAGGTGGATGATCCAAATCGAGTGGCTTCTGGCTAAAGCTACACCATGGTTGGGTCGAGCGCTGCTATGCTGGTCCCATCGAGTGAGTTTATTACAGTACTTCGAGTCTTCTGCCTTCTGTGTCCTGCCGTCATGTTCATGTTCTCATTATTTTCTTCGAATACAGTAGACTATCCATCCTCATGCCACCACGTAGGGGGGGTACCGAGATGGACTTGAGCTGTCTGATCCGAACGGAGCTGTTTATGCCGGATCAGGCTCTGCAAAAAGCTGGGGATCTTTTGGCCCGGCGCACATGACTCAAGCGGACCCAGCAGAGGGTCGATGGCTGGATTTTGCTTGCCATGAGCAGCATGGTAGGGTCGCCAAAGTTTTGCCTTCAGCCAAAAGGATCCGCGTCTACGCAACGACAAGGGAAGCAAGGCTAAAAGCAACAACACCGGGGATTCCAACGTGGTGAACTTCACCGTGCAGACGGGAAGTGGTGCTGTCATTGTACAAAGAGAATGATGGTCGTTCCTATCATCGTCTACGCAAGGAAGACAAAGGCTAACCACGCAACGAAGATTCCAAACCCACCGCCAAAACCACAAAACACAACTAGCTAGATGGAGCTCATTGGCATGTATTCTGAACCAATCAACATTCTTCTTATACGAGACACACCCATCGGCCTGCACGCACGGAGGTGACCACAGGACAAGGAGGACGGTGGCCGCTTTGATGGCTGCATTACCTCTGCGGTACAGTGTGGAGTATGAACAAGTGCATGCACTATGAACCGCCACTGCACAACATTGGCGCTGGCAGCTGCTGAACTAGTAGAAAGATTCTAACCTGTTAGACTATGAATAACAGAGACTGAATTGACACACCTCAACAATCATACCGTACTCAGTACAAAATCACATCAATTAAACAAAAACCCTTCCACATAGCTGACTGCACCCTGCCACCAAGTGTATGCTCTACTAACAAAACTGGCCTGTGCAGGGCTTCCACCAGTGCCCAGGTTGCCAACTTGAGGCAAAGGATTCAGGATAGGAGAAAATGTGGGAAAGTCAGTCTGTCCCCACATTTGGACAAGGCCGTTATTAGGACCATCATCAGTTGCTGAAGGAATGTCCTCATAACCAGGTGCTCCAACAATGACTTTAGTCCCATCTCCAGAAACGGCAACACTATATCCCAACTCATCGCCTACCCTAATTCCATCAATATCAAAACCTTGAGCCCTGCTGATCTCTTGAAGGACCCAATCAGTGCCATCAAACTTGTAGATGCGAGCGTAACCGGGGAGAAATGATGAGAAGCGGAAACTATTTGAAGATCCAGCCACAAGGGTTTTGCCATCATCGGATAAATCAACGGAGTACCCAAATGCATCCAGTTGTTCCTCCCCAATGAGATCACTATGTATTATTTGTCACAAGCCGCAGGGGGCAGAGTCAGTAATCCAAAAGAATCATTTGACATGCACACTAAATTTTGACAGTCCCAAATGCTTACCTCCCCAATTTTATCCATAGTTCACCAGTTCTTTCAAAGACTTGCACCCTGCCAACATCTTCAGCCCCACGCACATCAAACCCTGGAGAACCAACCGCAATGATGCTTCCATCATAGTTTAGGACCACGGATAAACCAAATTCGTCATTGACAGCGGACCCAAACATCGCTCCACCAGTAATGTCTTGTAGCAGGATGGAGCCGAACTCAATGTTGTAAACACGGCATTCACCAAACCTTGTAGCTTCAGAGTCAGAGGATCCAGAGAATCGCATTCCAACAGCAATCCAGTTGCCATCACCAGAGAATGATATAGACGCCCCCAACTGTGCGAATTCAACTTCTCCGTACAGCCCAGAAAGTATGGTGGAGGAGAGAATAGTCTCAAAATAAATGTCACGCTGCCAGTCAGTGCCATTCCAGAAATAGGTTGTTGCAAACCCAGCCACGATTTCAGTTGGGCTATCGTGAAAAGGAGCCCCAACTGCTACTTTGTTTCCATCCGCTGTCAGGGAAATGGCATAACCAAAGGAAGAAATTGGTGAGCCATCCAACTCAAAACCTTGAATTGTATTTCCTCTTTGTGACCACATCTCTGTGCTTGTGTCATGTTGAAACACCACAACAACTCTATTGTCCGGAGAGCTGACAGCAACCATGCCGCCATCTCCTGATATTGCAACTGAACGACGAGCGCCAAAGTCAGGAAAACCTGTCAAATCTTGACCTTTCTGGGTCCATCCATTGGCAGCATTCCTATAGACTCGAACAGTGTCAGTTCCCAATTCACGGACTACTATTGTTGTCCCTGTCTCATCGATGGCCACAGCACCTCCAAAAAGTCCAGAATTGGTGTCTCCGACGAGATTTCCTCCATATTGGACATAGCCGCTGATGGGAGCCAACCGACGATGCTGTTTCATGTTCTCCGCATTCAAGTCAATTATTTCCAAGAGTTGCTTCTGAGGTTCACTGGTACTATCTGCTGACGCGAGGAGCTTTGCCACATGGACACATAGCAGGATCACCCTTGAGAAACCTTTATGTGCAGGAAACCATTCTGATTGATTGTAATTCCACAACATGGTTAATAGTCGACAATTCAAGGATTCAACAAAATATTCAATCCAAATCCACAGGTGGAGACGAATGCGCCTGCAGTAACTATGACACTATGACTACCAGCAGCTAGTAGCTAGCTCTAGCTAGCTAGCGGAGAATGTGCTTGAAACTCACTTGAGGAGAAGATAGCGACAGAGGATGGTTTAGTGGTTTAGCGAGAAAGGGCAAGTTCAACCTTAATTAATAAAGTAGGAAAAATGTCTAACTAAATTTTGTTTAACGCCAAGGAGCGACGAGGGGCTGTGGTTTGTAATCTGACCGTGGACCAAGTAAGTATAGAATTTATTCCCACTACAACAATGCCCAGTTAGAAGAAACCAGATGGGACCCCAGCTCCCTCATCAAGAACAGTGATCCCAACTCTCAAACTCACCTAAAAGAGTGAGTTTGTAAAGACCCAAGTGGTTGTTCCGTGGCTTCTTGCTAACGCCACCGGTACATGGTTGGGTCGAGCAGCGCGGTTCCATCGACTGATTGTTTACTTCGATGCTTCGTCCGAGTCGAGTCCTGCCTGCCTGTCTGCATGTTCATGTTCTGCCTCATTTTTGAATATCCTCGTTCCACAGAAGGCAGACCTATTCCTATCAAAGTTGCGCACTTCCTGACCCTTAGTAGACGTTGAACAGAGGGAGGAAATTGCAGCAAGTTTGGGATGCAAAGGTAATGGCCTCCTGGGATTCTTGCAACTACAATCATCAATCATGCAACCAACACATCAGCACCACCAGCCAGCCAGCAGATACAAAAGCAATTGTGCACTAGCTAGTCGAGTAAGGTTGGTAACGGTACTACCGTGCGTTCTTACCGTGCGTTCTTCTAAATGGGCCATGATGCTAGATTTACATCGATGCACAATGCCCTTAGAAAATAGTATCCCTCCTCAAATCTTGACGGGGAACAGCAAGCCAAACATCTAGCTAGGTACCCAGTACTGTGTAGCGGCAGAGAGAGCTTCAGGGAAGATTTCTACAGACTGTGGGCCATATTGAGAGCAGCCGAGGTCCTACTGGAGGGCCTCAGGGGCCAGCTTGCTACTAGAAGGCCCAACGTGCTAGAAGGCCCCGCTCTGCGCAGAGGATACTCCGCTGGAAGAGCTCCTCTCGGTCAAGCAACAATCAGACAGCAGCTAGTCTACTATCAAGCTATCAGTGACCATGAGTGGCCTCTTGCCATTCTTCGCTACGATATGTATTATTCAATCTAACCCTGTAATCAATCATCCATTCACGTGCAGCTGAGTTGAGTCGCTCCTCAGCAGCACTCTACCTCATGCCTGCTCTTCAATCAGGCGAGGATTCCACTTCCGAGAGATGTGCTGCATTGTACATGTTGTATGTCTTCGGCTCGATGGCCCAACGGATCATGTAGAACTGCTTGGTGCCAAGTTATCCCTCAACTATATTGCAATTAAAATCACCCATTCACTTGTAGATAACTAACTAAGGTAGAGTCTTCAGCACTCCACCTCATTTCTGAAGGATGACGTCTCTTTCTGTTTCAACTCAGTGTGATTGCCCCCCACTGAAGAAAGGGTATCATTGGATGGGCAACTACTAACACAGGTTTCACTCTCTTTGCCTTCTTCCTCTAGTTCACGGTTGCCCTCATGAAAACTCTTGGTGCCGTCATTTTCTCTCTGGGTCTTGGATTTCACCGCTGAAGTGCTAGCTGATGGATGTGTGGCAGGTGGCTTGGAGGGTGGAATGCTTGCCATGTACCTTGTTTGTGCACCTTGCCCTTGAAGAAGATTACGCATAGACTTGAGCGGTGGCGGCTCATCTGACGGCAGTAGATGGCCACTGTCATTGAGTTTCCTCAACAGTTCTTGCACAACCTCTTGTCCTCTACGTTCCCACTCATTGCGATTGTTTGTGGCATACTGCAAGTACTCCTCCGAAGACACACCAAACACACCACATTCCTTGAGCTTTTTCGCCAGAGGAATGATGTAGAAATCAAAAAAGCCGAGCTCACCCTGGTACCAGCAGTCCACTGGGTTCTTCTCTCCCCTCCCTTCTGCATAAGCAATGTAGAGCTCTTCAAAGAGGCGAGAATTCCACTTGCGGTAAATGTGCCAATGCTGCATTGTATGAGACACTGCACGAGAAACAATCACAGCAGGTGGCAGATAGATGAGGTGCGTGGCATGATTGGCATGGTTGCACAAGGTGACATGCTGCCTTCTCTCTCCTAGAGAAACTTACCATCCGAAGCTTGCATCAAGTGTTCAATCACAATGGTGGCTTTCCTGTTGGTTTGGTCACGGATGCTTTCTTCCTTTCTGTCCGAGAAGGCCTTGGCCCATCGCCTGTTTCTGAGTGCCTTCAGATCAGCATCCATAATATCAGTTGCCAACACAGAGTTCACAAGCAGTTCTCGGAAGTGATAGAACTCTGCTTCAGTCTTGTAGATTGTACGGCGCAAGTCATGAAACTCTGGTTTCATCAAAAGCCCCCAGGCCAGATCCACTGAGTTCTATTATTGTGGAAAGTCAAAAGTACGTGACATGAGGGTTGTGCATGCAGCAGTTACATCCTCATCCTGTATACGAACCATAGCTGCAGTCTTACCTGTTCAGCGACACTCTTGCCCTGGTAGAGCTTGGCAACCTCCATCTGTTCTCTCACCATCTGTGAATTTGGAATCCCAGGATGATCTTGCGATAGAAGACAACGTGTACATCATCAGAGGCATTCTTATGGACCGCATGTGTGTGAATGAGCACGTACCAACATCATGGATCAAAGCTGAGAGCACAACTGCAAACTGTGTAAGAGAGTCTGAAGTGATCCCATAGGTGTGGTCATGAAGGCTATCCATATTCTCCCCAACCTTGTCCAAATCAGGTGCAATGATCCTTGAGAAGAGCTTCACCACTGTGGGAAGAGAGTAGTGCAACCAATGGTAAGCAGCCCAACTTCACTGCCAATCCATGCAATTTCATCCAGATGCTTGGCTTGCACTTACCACTCATTGTGACGTGTGAAGCATGCTGAAAACGAAACAGAGAGCATAAAATAATTTGTTAGAGGGCAACCGACCATCTTCAAGGCTCTTGAGACAAAAAGGCACAGCACATCCATTGACTTGTCTGTGACGTACTTCAAAATTGTGGAATGCATTCTTGTGGTAGTTTGATGCAATGATCAGGATGTACTGCCGGAGTTGCTCTACAATTCCAAAGCTAAATCTAACCATCTTGGGTTCATGGGAGGTGAGCTCTGTTTTGTATTCTGGAAGCACAATGATCTCTCGCACTTCATTGAGAACCATGTCAGTCTTGCAGAGGTACTGTTCCTCCAGTTGCGATAGTCTCTCACAAGGATCCAGAGCAACATCCGTAGACAGCCTTCTCGCCTCAATTTCCTGAAGCATCTTTATCAGAATATCAACATTCCAGTCAACCAGGCGCAAAGTCTTCTCATTGAGCTTCGCCTTTGGGTCAACATGACCTTGTTGGCACCGGCTCGCATGCATGGAGGAAGGAAGCAAACTCTCCAGCATGGCACCTGCACTTGTCTCATCGCTGTTTGTAGACGTGGATGCTTTTGATGCGGTGTCCTTGCTCCTTGCTTGTAACCAGAAAGTTTGCATTTGGCCTTTGCCTAGAGTGAATGCAGGACCAGATAGTGAGAAGAATGACAATGCGCCAGCAATGCCAATCCCTGATTCATGGAAGGCAATCTTACCTTTGACATCCACGAGGTCTTCTCGTGGAACAACCCAATGGCCCATGTCTCCTTTGAAAAGGAGGTCAGCGGTCTCTTGAGAAACTTGAATCATGTTTCGACTGCCCGTTGATTCCATGCGGCTAGCAGTATTCATTGTGTCCCCTGGGTACAGAAGCAGCAGTGATGAGTGAACTACAAATTTGCCAGCACTCAACTGACTCCCATTCAACCTACCAAATAGTTGGAACCGAGCTCTTTCCCCTCTACCAGAGGGACGAAATGTATCAGTAGCAATGGGATGAGTCTAACATACAGCTCTATCTCTGCAAAGAACCCCAGTCAAAGGTGCCTACCTGAGGACTCCAGCCTATTGATTCATCAAAGATATGGTAACAAGAGAGTCAGGAAAGCCAGTTCGATTGGACGACGCCAGTTTTAAGACAGTCGACTTCTTACGGTTACAGGACCACTGTGGATTCCCACTCGCATTCCAAGGTCTCCTGTATCTGGACCCAACTCGGTCTCAAGCTGATTCAACAACGATCCCAGCCTGGAGAGGCATTCATGAGCGAATCGGGAAATCGCAACTGCATGATCAGGTCTGGGATCTGGCAATCCAGTACAAGCCTGTCACAGAAATGATCCTGTTAGAGACATTGGGAGAGAAGGGTATGTTGGAGTGTGAGTCAAGCATCGGTTTGGCTACGTACGACATAGCAATCGCCCACAGTCTCCACTTTGAAAATTCTTCTTCGGTTTGCCACCCGGTCAAATTCATGGTAGATGGTCTGGAGAAGAACGATTGGTAAGTCGTTGCAAGCAGAGAAATTCAGGCAAGCGGTGATACCCTGCGGAGAGAGGGAGCTAGGCTGGCCTACCTCTAACAGCTTGAAGACTTGCGAAGGCTCGCGCGTACTTGACCACGCCGTGAAACCTGCAGCATCATTGATAGAGATCGATGCAATGAGAAGGTTCCATTGTTGTTTCCACGGCACCGGCTGACGCTGAAACTTACCTACGATGTCACCTGATTCGGGCATGTACGAAGCCAGATTATGTCCAGTGAGTCGGAGTGTCGCTCGGAATGAGCATAAGATATTCTACCACGTGACTGCTTTAACGTACCGAAGAGGATGGAGGTTTCCTAAAGCAGGGCGTGAAGCAGGACGCGATCGATTGGCAATACTGAGTCTACGACGAGCACAGGAAGGACCTGCCTTTTGGCGCGGCAATGTACGTACCGGGAAGAAATCGGCGATGGGTTTGGTGTCGAAAACGACTGAGTCATCGTCGGCGGCCGACTCCGATCCAAGGAAGGATTTGAGCATGTCTTTGCCGCTGAAGCTACGTCGTCGGGACCGGGAGTCATCTCTCATTGCTTCCTTCATGAGCTTGGATTGGATGTTCTTGGGAAAGAGGGAAGAGACAATGGCGGCGGTTCGTGTTGCGGCCCACATGACCTTGTCTTGCCGTCGCTGAACAAAGTAGTCGTAGAGGACAAAAGTCAAGACGGTTAGTCCGAACACGGCCAGAACAACTAGTGTGTAGACGACAGGATCGTCACTTTCATATTCCTTCTTGAGCTCATCCGTTGGATGCACGACGAGGCGGTAGTAGCAATGGAGGATACTATTGCCGGCGAAAGACTCGCCGTCGAACCGTGCAAACTCGGCGAATTCCGCAGCTTGCGTCAAGTGTGCAAAGTCGGGGTTGGGTGAAAAGTCCTTGTCGTCGACGAGTGTGGCATCGGGTCCATCTAGCTTGTAGTAAAAGGAAGATCCGCAGCTGTCTTGGACTTCGACAATGTAGTTGTTGGTTCCTGGAGGCAGAATGTTGAGAAAGTAGGTGAACCATGGCACGACGGCAAAGATGAACCCGACGACTTCGCTGTCCCAGGCAAAGTCTCGGTAAACCGGTTCGACGGCATAACTACGTGGATCGCGATCCGTGAGAGCGTTGCTGTCGAGAGTTTGAATGCTCTCGGAGATGAATGTCCGGTCGACCACTTCACTGAGCAACGTATGTCGGACCTGATGGCATTCCTCGATCATGCGTTGAAAGCTGGGATGGGAGTAGAGATCCAAGTTGACAATCTTGGCATCGGTTGGGACCGGTGCAACTTGCCAAATAGGGACATGCAGCTGTGCGGAGAGGTGTTCTTCGAGTCCCGCAGCGGCGCCACCGTGTGGATAGACCCGAGCAGGGATTAATCCAGGGTCCAGCTTTCCCAACCCTCGCAACTCGAGGTCTTGTTCGATCCATCCTTGATGATCCCAGGCATACCTTTCGTAGCCTTGAAGGTTGGCTTTGGTGACCATGGGACTAAAGATGTAGAGCTCGGCTCCAGCAACCTTTTCAAAGGACTCGGTCGTTCGAATGGTAAAGTGAGGTAGCGTCACGTTGGGCCATGCGGCACCCTTGTCGATCGAGTAGGAAGTGAAAGTGTTGCTGATTCCCTGGTACTTGCCCAGAAAGTCCTTGGCATTGGAATCAGCAGATGTCAGGATCTCTTTTGCAAAGTCTCTGAACTACAGGGTGTCGTGTTCAGCGAAGAAGAGCATCAGGCAATGTACAGCCAAGCATCAGGCCATGAGCGTCCAAGCAGTACATCCAGTCAAGTCAAGGAGAGCAAACGAAGAAACTGTCAGAATCGACGGGTTCGGATCCTCCAGATCAAGATGGATTGAAATTACTGGTTGTGCCCGTGGTCTAGCTAGGAGTTGCGATGGCTTACCTTGCTTTCAAAGGTTTTGTTCTCTTCGTGGCTGATCAAAAAGTAGACCGCCACTGCAAAACCTCCGGTGACCAGTGTCAGCACTAGATAGACCAAGCGCTTGGATCGCTTGACCGCCAGATTGTCACTGTTTCCCAGAGGACCCGAGAGTTCTTGACTGGATCCTTCAGCTGAATCCTTCTTGGTGGATGAAAACTCTTTGTCGTCAACTTCAATGGAATCATCATGCTCTACGTAGGAATCATCAGGATTCGACATGTTGTCGACTTCTTCGTCGTGAAAACTCTCCAAGAAAGCGGATGCGTCTACGGTCCCTTGCGTCGTGGTACTCCGTCGGAAACTTTGAAGACGATCTCGACTACTATTGCTGCTACGACCTGTGGTGCTACTTCTCATTGCCAGTGTTGGCGGTGGAGACAAGAGTTTAGTAAACGTTGGCACAAGACTTGATGTCAGCAAGCGCGAAGTGACCGCGGAAGGATGCACCAAAACCGTTGCTAACTCTACCTTCTTTGCTTTGGTTCAGAGACCAAATTCTTTTGTGTCAACATAATTCAACAGCCAACGGTTTGGGAATGAATGGTCTGGGGAGAAGCAACTGAAAACATATTGGACTCTTGCAGGAGTGTTCTCTAGCTCGACAACAGATCCCAAGATGCTTGTCACTTATCCTACGACCGGTATGCAGATAGGCGTCAATCATTCAGTTTCTCAAAGAAGATTCGTCAACGATAGCCAAACATACGGCGGCTTCGACAAACGTCGGTCCCAGACATGAGGAGCTGAGATCAGTGAGGACGATGAATTTGTGAGATTCGATTCGAGTTCCAGTATGCTCTCTAAATGCTAAAAAGTCTTGCCGGAAGAAAGTTACCGTGTGACACAACTTCATTTCTTCGTTTTCTGATTATTCCTCCTCTAAATTTTAGATACTACAGTCGTACTGAGAGAAGTGCTTCAGGCCCTACAGTCGTACTGGTAACGTACGGTATCTGTACTGTAAAGCTACGGTGAGGTGCGAGCGCTACCGCAGTGGTACTGCAAGCTTCGTGGAGGTACCAGTACTGGTACGGTACGGTACGTACTGGTACCGGTACCATATACTATAATAGTATTGTAATCTTCTGTCGGCATATCGCTCGCCTCCCTCAGCAAGCCCTAGCTAGTGTGACCCTGCCCTCCGCCAGAGGATCCAAAGGAGAAAACAACTCTATCTACCTATGACCTGGTTGACAGCAGAAATCTATAGCTACGGCATGCCCTTCCACCCGCTATGATGGACTATCACGCGAGAGAGGAGAGGTTGGAGGAGCTGTTGGAGGTCCGGAGCCTTGAGCCTTGTAGTGGTTTCACATCAGAATGTCTTAATTCCAAGGCTTATTTGCAACGTAATCTTCATTTTACGAGGATTTGAACACCTGACGCATAAGTACAAAGAATGACCTCGAAGATTCATTTAGATTCAGAAAAGAAGTTGTGGAAGAATCTTTCTTCTCATAAGAGTGCACTTCTTTGCACGCCACTTTTCTCGCTTCGTCCGTGCCGTTGCATCCGTGGGCACCCGAGAAGATAACCATGAAGATCTCTTCTGCTACCAGTACAACCTTACTAGTACTGCTATTCTTTCTCTTGGCGGTATCAGTGGCCGAAGCACAGCAGGAAGCCTGCGAGAGCCTGATTTCTGGATCCATCTCGGTGGCGGGTGCCTCCGCCGTCGAACGGTTGGCCACAGCGTGGGTGGATGCCTACACCGAGACCTGTGGGGATGTGATAGATCCACCCAATGTGGTGATTGAAGCTGGTGGGAGCTCCGATGGTGCTTCTCGTGCGTGTGGTACCTCCCTCTCGAGTGACCCCATCGATATTGGTGGCATGACGCGTCCCTTGACCAGTGGTGAAGCCACTACCGAAAATGGATTTGAGTTTGACTGTGCCCGATCGACACGCCGATTGCTACAAGTCGAAGTGGCCTCGGAAGGCATCGCCGCTGCCACTAGTATTGAAGGAAGTGCTGCTACTTGTATCAAGATCTTGGATGGTTTGACACTGGATCAACTCCGTTGGATCTTTTCCTCTTACACGGATCAACAATTGATGGAATCTGGATGGGATGCCAACAGTGTCCCCTACTCGGACAATGATCCCAACACACACTTGTGGAGTGAAATCAACAATCTGTGTCCAGAAGAAGAAATCAAAATTGCTTTTCCCGAAAAGGGAGCACTTCTCTTCAAGGAACTCATCTTTCGCGGGGTCGATGAAGCCTTTGCCATTCATCGTGACAATGCTACGTTGATCAGTGCGCAATCCAACCAAGATTTGCGCGACTATATTCTGGAAAATGATAGCGCCATTACTTACTTTGAATTGGCCCATGTCATTGCCGAAGTTGATCAAGAATTGGTCAGCCTCGTCCCCATTCAAGAAGATGGACATGCCATCAAGCCAGGTGCTGCATCCTTTGATTCTGGTACTTATCCATTGGCACGTCGCATCTACATGAATTTGTTTCATGATGATGCTTCTCTGGAAGCTACCCGGGCGTTGATGGAGTTTGGGTTTTCCAGCCACGGCGATCAAGCAACCAAATCGGTGGGATTTTGGCCCATTGACCGGTGGGAAAAGGTGCTGATGGCCACTCGGATCCAGAGTCGTTCTGGGATACCCATTGGTGAAATTGAGGACTACTGCAATGAGGGAGTCGAAGAAGAGACCATTACCATTGCCGGTTCCTCCACAGTCTTCCCCGTGGCACAAATATGGTCTGAGATATACAGAATTGGATGTCCCCAGGTGTCATTCGTCGTGGATGGAGGAGGCAGCAGCGTTGGCGCAGGACGTGTCTGTGGAAACCCCGAGCACGGTACTCCGGTGGACATTGGTGAGTTGAGTCCAAGCAAGTAGGAAGAGAGCACCCCACGCATCAGATTTGTCAATCGCTGACGCTTTCTCTCCATATTTCGGCAAATGAATCAACCAACAACGCCTTCACTGTTTCCTTGGCCACCTTAGGCGACATGTCGAGACAATGGAAAGATAAAGAGGCAGAGGTTGTCAATGGGCACCTCTACAACTGCAAAGAACCCGGTGGCACATCTAGATCAGTCATACAAGTCGATGTGGCCATTGATGGGCTGACGGTGGCAGTCAAGGAAGGAGGTACAGCCTGGAAGTGCATTCAAACCCTTGGAGCACTGACCGTGGACCAACTACGATGGATTTATTCCGACTACAACGATGCCCAGTTAGAAGAAACCGGATGGGACCCCAGCTCCCTCAAGAACAGTGATCGCAACTCTCAAACTCACCTGTGGAGTGAGCTGGACGAGCGCTGCCCCAGAGTCGAGATCCGCATTGCAGGTGCCGATGACCTGAGTGGAACCTACGAATACTTCTTGGAGACAGTGCTCGTGGATCATGACAATGGCGAGACCTTTGATCTGAACCGTCCAGGATTTGGCTATGAGAATAGTGCCGTAGATGAAGATCTCGTGGCCTACGTGCAGCAGTTTGCCGAGTCCATTAGCTACTTTGGATACTCGTACTACTTTGCAAACCGGGATGCTGTCTCGGCTGTGGCCATTACCAATATCCAAGGGGAAGCCGTCTTTCCAGACCCAACTTCTATTGGAGATGGAACTTACAATCCACTCGCTCGTCGCATCTACATGAATCTCTTCAACAATGGGGAACGCTTAGCTCACACGGCTCCCTTTGTGACGTTCGGTCTCAGAACGCCCAGCCTGGTGGAAGCCACCGGGTATGTCGCTCTTCCTTCAAGAGACGCGGAGAATATGATTGATCGTATGGATAGTCCAGGATCGTTGGAGAGCACCAGTGATGGCGCCCCGAATGCCAAAGACGGATGCATCTTCACGGTGCTGGTGCCGGTACGTGTTGATCGGCGGTGGACGGCAACTAAATGATTTGCACCGTCTAGTCGGCTGACAAATGCTTCATTTCTCTGACTGACCCACCAGTGGATTTGTGTCTGGTTGATTGCCAGAGATCATCAATAGTGGCAACAAGCGGTCTACTGTTTGTGGCTGAGTCATTGTCTGCGTGGGGATGAGGTTATGCCCCCTTCTCTCCTTGACACTTACCATGAGAGGTTTGCATCAAGTGCTGATTACAAGAGCAGCTTTCCTATTGGTTTGGTCATGAATACTTTCTTCCTTTCTGTCCGAGAAAGCCTTGTCCCATCGCCTGTTTACAATTGCCTTCGGATCAGCATCCATAATATCAGTTGAGTTGACAAGCAGTTCTCATCTTAAGCGATATAACACAAAAGGTGCCTACCTGAGGATTTGCTCCAGCCTGCCTTAGGTTCCATCTATGCAAGAAACGACCGAGTCATCGTCTTTGGGAACGGGAGTTATCTCTCATTGCTTCCTTCATGAGCTTGGATTGAATGTTCTTGAGAAAGAGGAGGGAAAAGACAGTTGCGGCCCACATAATCTTGTCTTGCCATCGCTGAACAAAGTAGTCGAGGACAAAGGTGAAGACGCTTTTTCAGAACATAGGCTTGCAGTCAGCTTTCATATTCCTTCTTTGAGTTCATCCGTGGAATACACGACGATCATGAAACCGAACCGAGCTGACTGCGGATCGTTGTGCCTGATCGGATACGTTAGGGAGCGAGGGGGGCGAGGCTAGCTACCAGGCAGGGTACCTGTTGCGGGGTGGTGGGTTACTGGGAGAGCAAAGAGGAGTAGGTATGCATGCGTGGCTCCCGTGTCCCCGCAGGCACAATGAGCTACAGCCGTTCTCTCTGGGATGCTGATGATGCACTTGCACTCTTCCGCTAATCTTGCCTCCCTTCCCCCCTCTCGACTCCCCTCTACCAGGTACCTCCTCCATTTCCTCATGGCACCCCCCTTCCCACCCCCCCTGTTTTGCCCTGCTCCCGTCCTCTTTGTTCTCCCAGTACGACCCACCACCGCAGCCACTGCTCTGCCTAGCTTAGCCCCCCTCGCTCCTTTAAAACATATCTACTATTATCTTAGTATTTATTTTTCATTTGTACGTACCTCCAGCATCATTGTGCAATAATAATGATGTAGCAATTTATTTAAAAACAATATTAGGGGGGGTTTAGAGTACTATAATAGTAGGGAATATATCTATGGAAGTTAATTTTTTAAAAGCAATTATGCTCCCTTCCACGCCAATCGTATCGCTTCGCTGGCCTTGTGCTGCCATGGAGCAAAAGTGGCAGCGTGGTACTAGCTAGCTAGCAGCGTCTAATGGCTAATACACGTGATGAAGATTCCGACCACTCTCCAACCAAAAAACACAACTCAACTATAGTTTGGTCCATCACAGCTGCTGTATTGATTACACGAGAGAATTACTAGTTCTCTCCACCATGAGTTCTGACGATTTGGAAGGTGACGATATCTGGGGCGATTCTGCCGGGGAAACCAAACTGGCCGAGCCCGAAGAGTCTGCCGCCCCTGCCGAGGAAAGTGAAATCTTGGAAGATGACGAGACGCGGCACATGACAGTTGGTGAGCTGCGACAGCGAATCCATTTGTTGAACAATGATATTCGAATCATGAAGTCTGATGTCCAGCGCATCACCCACGAAAGCCGTGGTCAACGTGAACGAATCCGAGAAAACCAAGAGAAAGTCAAGCTGAACAAGCAGCTGCCATATCTTGTCGCCAATGTTGTGGAAGTTTTGGAGCCTGATGCTGAAGATGGTAAGCAGATTGGGTTGCACAATACTATCATTGAATGATTTTCCCCCTAAAGCGTTTCTCTCCATGTTCTTGACAGGATTGGAGGAGGAAGAACGAGAGGCAGGAGACGCCACGGATGTGGATGCACAGCGCAAGACTCGTTCAGCGGTAGTTCGCACTTCCACGCGCCAGACTATTTTCCTTCCAGTGCCAGGGCTTGTCAATCCAGAAGAGCTCAAGCCCAGTGATTTAGTAGGAACCAACAAAGACTCCTACCTGATTTTGGAAAAGTTGCCAGAAGAATTCGATTCTCGAGTTCAGGCAATGGAGGTCGATGAACGGCCCACAGAGGAGTATTCTGACATTGGGGGAGCCGATCAACAGATCCAGGAACTGATTGAAGCGGTTGTGTTGCCAATGACTCACAAAGATATGTTTGATACTATTGGTATCCGTCCACCGAAGGGAGTTCTGGTAGGTCTATTTCGATATGATGTGTCCTGTGACTTTATCTTCTACTGTACATCTCCTCACTCGCTATTTTTGTGTGCGAAATGCAATAGCTTCACGGTCCTCCCGGCACTGGCAAAACCTTGCTCGCGAGAGCATGTGCCAATCAAACCAACGCCATTTTCCTCAAGCTTGCAGGACCACAGTTGGTTCAGATGTTCATTGGTGATGGAGCAAAGCTGATCCGGGATGCGTTTGAATTGGCCAAGGCAAAGATCAAACAGGGGGTAAGTGCTGGAGCCATCCTCTTCATTGATGAGATTGATGCAATTGGTACAAAGCGTTTTGGTGGAGATCAAAGTGGAGACCGAGAGGTGCAGCGGACCATGTTGGAGTTGCTTAGTCAGTTGGACGGGTTCAGCAGCAACGAAATGATCAAGGTCATTGCAGCCACAAATCGCCCTGATGTTCTTGATCCTGCCTTGTTGCGATCTGGACGTCTTGACCGAAAAATTGAATTGCCTCATCCCAACGAGGATGCTCGTGCCAAGATTTTGAGGATCCACTCCCGAAAGATGAATGTAAGCTCGGAGGTTGTGTTTGAAGAACTTGCTCGATCATGCGAGGATTTCAACGGAGCCCAATTGAAGGCTGTAGCAACAGAAGCCGGAATATTTGCTCTGCGGCGAGAGAGTACTGAAATTATGCACGAGGACTTTGTAGAAGCCATCACGGTGGTAGCGGCGAAGAAAAAGGGCAGTTTGGATTATTTCGCTTGAGGAAACCACACGACAACGCTCCAGTCTTCTCATACAAACCTGAGGTTTCTTGCCAGAGACAAGTAAACCTTATAGACGCCGGTACCAGTACTATCTTTTCGTGCCGTTGGAACTTGCAAGAGTGCGGAATGTTCTAGCTAGCTGTCTTCGGAAGCAAGCGCCATTCTTACATTCTTATGAAGGTTGGTTAGCCAGGACTTGCTACCGGTGGCTACATACGGTGCACGTTCAGTTCCTTAATAAAACGGTGCATCCAAGCAATACGGGCTTTGTTATCGCTGCTTCCTGCGTGCCAGCACCATGGACACGACAACGCCTATACTGCCCACCACCACAGATCCCACTAGTAATTTTCGTTTCGTCGTTAAAGGCTTGTTTCTGGGAATGGCATGGTTGTCAAACACACTCTTTGCTCGAACATTGTCTTGTTCTCGTTCGAGGGATTGTCGTGTCAGTCGCAACACTTGTCGCGTGGTAGTGGCACCCAATCGTTCGGGCAAAAAGTAATCAATGACGCGAAGTGCCGCAATGCACGTGGGACGTCCGGCAGCAATCAATGCCAGTTCTTCCAACGAACAGATAAACCCAGCAAGACATTCGCATTGATCTGCCACTCGCAACCGTAGACGGACCAAGTTGTCATAGAGGATAATCTGGGAGTTGGTCAGAGGTCCAAGTGGACTGGAGAGTTGTTGTCGTTGCTGTTTCTTCTTTTTGGTTTTCTTTCCTCCCCACAGCAGGGACACGAACAAGGAGTTTTTGACGTGGAATTCAAAGGTATGCTTGGCCATGCCGCGACACCGATATTGGCTTTCGGTGAGGACCGTCATGAGGCTGGGTTGCATTCGTAGTTCCTCGACCGTCACAATGGCAGCGTTGTTGCCGTTGGAGTCTCCATTATTTTGATGATTGGGCATGTGATGATCGTCCCCGGCAACGTTGTCTGATTCTTTTGCGTCATCAGGACTGTCTCCATTGTCGATTGTGTCATCCTCGTCGTTCAACGCAAGATGATGATGATTATTGTTGTTGTTTGTGGAGGACGAGTCAATAGTAGTAGCAGCAGTATGATTGACAGCATTAGTATCATCATACTCATCATTGTACTGCGCCCACTCCTCAGAGCACATTTGATCTTCCATATCCTGTATGTGTTGCATGGCACCGACATAGGAGTTGGCATACAGGCGATCTGCCAGAACCAAATCTCGTATCATGAGTTGTCGCAACTGCAACAGATAGTGCACATCGTATCGCCCATAGAGAATCATGGATTCGGAGAGGGGTCGTTGTCTCCAATCCATGGTCTGGTGCATGTCTTTTAATTGCGTGTATTGTTCGTAAGTGGTCAATCCGTAGTATTGACAAACCGCCGCCAATCCATGCGACGGTAACTGGAGGACACGAGCGGCTTCGTAGGTATCAAAGGCATTGACAATGGCAATTCCAAAATCGCGGTAGAGACAACGGACATCGAGTCCTCCCATGGCATGTCCAATCTTGACAATGTGTGGATTGGCAAACAGAGGTGCCAAACTTGGTCCCACTGTATCCCAGACACCCGGTGCCAATGGATCGATAATGTATTGTGTTCCAAAAGTAGACGTGAGTTGGAGGAGACACGTTCGTTGCGTATATTGATTGGGATTAAAGGCTTCGACATCAAAGGCAATTTCCGTGGCATGCGTCAATTCTTGGGCACACTGTAACATGGCGTCGGGAGTATCGACGAGTTGCCAATTGGCATCGGTCGAGTGAGGAGGTGGTACCGATGCGAGATTCTGGTGGGGATCCAACTTGAAATCATAATCGTCCGTGTCGCGCAAACACGTGGAGGGTTGATCAATGAGTTGTTGGATTTGTTCCTTCATGCGTCGCGTGTGTGCATGAACGCTAGTAGTAGAAGTGCAAATCCAGGGTCGATAGTTGTGTTGTTGGTAGACGGCAGAAGGCCAGGCAAATCCTGGAAGGGAGGAAAAGACGTCGCAATAAATGGAAATGACCAAACAGCGAGTCGACCCCGTCCCAATGGCGCAGTGGTAGAGTCCCATGTCGGCACACGCATTGTGAATGGTTCTTCGTTGTTGGGCCGAGAGTGCACTGGGAAGTTTCAGGTAAGAACTGGATAGAATAGAGTGGGAAAGCGATGGAAAGGAAATTCCAGCAATCGAAATTTCTTGGAGGTTTTCATGGCAAGAAATCTTTTTCTTGTTGTTGTCTCCTTGCTGCTGTTGTTCTTGTTTGTACGCCTCCAGGGCTCCTTGACGGTACTCTTCCAGGTACTGTTGGAGCAGCCGTGTCTCGGGAACCGTAAAGCCTCCACTTCGCTTTTCCGCCTTGTAATCCTGACGTTTTTGGGTCTTGCGAGACTTTCGACCGCCTCTGCTATTGTTGTTGTTGTTGTTGTTCTTGTTCGAGGAATCACCTACTCCTGAAGAGGAAGCTGCCTCGAGATTGTTGCCGTTCATGATAGTCAAGTAAGTATACTAGCTAGTAGTGATCGAATTTAAAGTCAAGTGAACGAGAGTGCAACAGCTACTAGCTAGCTAGCGAGACAGCAGTAACAGTCAAGCGAGGCAAATAAATGTTCTGTTGTCGAATCTTTGATTCTTTGGATCTTGGATCTTTGGATCCGAGGTTGGGACATGCGGGACTAAACGGCAATCCTGGGCCGAAAGACAACCTTGAAATCTAGGTCAATGAGGTAAACCAATTTTTTAATTAAATAAAAACACTTACTGGTATATATACCCAGTGTACCCATATAAAGCTGTCTTCAGCTCAACGAACCATGACACTCCTGTCCTGTCTTGGGAGATGCAAGTCTGGTTGTCAAGATAGTTAGTTGTTGTCATTGAAGGACGAGCACTGTAAAGGTCTTCACGAGAGATCGTTGCAGTCAATCAATAAGTTTGCAGCCATGAGGAAGTTCGGGCCCATCCTGGGTGGAATTGCGCTGCTGCTAAAGCCAGCGTTGGGTCAACAAAGCAGCTGCGACGGCTACACTACTACCATAGTTGCAGAAAGTGCTCCCTCATTGACATTGTCCTTTGTGGCCAACACTGTTACCGGACTTTTTCGTGGTCAAGTGGTGTACGAAGGAAATGGCTGGGTGGGATTTGGCATCAACCCAACAGGTCCTAACATGGTGGGTGCGCGAGCTGTCATCCAACAAACATCTGGAAAAGCAAACTACAATCTGGGTGGATACTCAGTCCCGGCCGTGACTGTCATTGATGACGATGAATACCCGGCCGAACCTTGGGAATGGAATGCCACCCATTCGGTTTTGACATTTGAAGTGCCACTCGATAATGGAGATTTCTCCATTGACACGACAGGAGCTGACAATTATTTTGTGGTGGCCGGTGGAGCCTCTGGAACCCTTGGCTTTCATGCTGCTCGGAGTCCCATTGTCACTCCAGTTACACCCTGTGGTGGAGGAACAGCCATTGTGCAAGAGACGGAATCATCTGTTGCAGACCTGTTCGTGGGTGATGTCATTATTGTCGAAGGATATGTCATGGACCGGTTTTGCATTGAACTTGGTTTTTCTTGGATACGGGACTATCATCTTTGGAATTTTCGGATCGGCACGCCTTCCACTGCCTGTTGGATCCTCCACAGTGTGTCCAATCCACATTTGAAATCTTGATAGACCCAGACTACGCTGCTGGTGAAACCGTGTGGTCTCGTGGATACACCTTGGACGACGCTAGTAAAGCACTTGTCATTGAAGAAGGCCGTCGAATTGGAAATTGTGATACCTGCACAAGTGGAGAAACGGGACAGATTGCTGGCTTTCGAATCCGTGTAGAGGCGACTGTCTTGGTGGCCGAGCGCGACTTGGCCTCGGGATCTGGTCCCCTACTTTCCATTAATTCGTTGGAATCGGTTGGCCAATATTCAGTGGGACAACTCATCCAAGTGGAGGGGTACATTATGGATCAGTTCTGTATTGACCGAGGGGCTTTCTTGGACACGGGGCTTCCTCCTTTGGCCAATGCTGACAATCATACAGTTCGCTGTCTGGTCGACCCCCCTCCGTGTATTGCTTCTCCCTGGGAAGTCCTCATTGATCCTGTCTCATCGGGTGGGAACTGGACTCGTGGATTTACATTAGACAACGATAGCAAGCAGATTTTGGTGGATTTGACCAAGCAGGTGGGAGACTGTACAACATGTACCGGAGAAGGGACACTCAAGGAAGGATTCCGGGCAAAGATTACAGCCACCATCGTGGACAACCAGCGCAATCTCACATCTGGATCTGGCCCTCTCATTTCGGTCAGTGAGGCAGTACCAATTCTTCCCATAAGTGGCGCCTGCGATGAGCAACCACCAATTACTCTGACATTTGATGAATCACTGTTACCTACGAGCTGGGCATTGACGAAGAAACTGAAATGGGTACTTTTTCAGCAGCTATTGTCTATGAAGGTGAGTGTGAGCATTTCCAAGTACTCTTTTGTGGATCGGTGTGTGGATGATTTATTGTGTTGGCTCATGTGTTTGTGCTCTTTCCCATGAACAGGCTTGGGATGGGTTGGTTTTGCCGTTAGTCCCACCGGATTCATGCAGGGTGCCAGTGCTATCATTGGGATGCCAGGGAATGAAGTGAGCAACGCAAACCCAGGGAATTATTTCCTTGGTGGCTACACTGCCGATGGAATCACTCTGAGCGAATGGCAGACATTGCTGAGTAAGGGCCTAGAACAAAACACACGGTTCTTCTCTTCACCAGTTTCCTTGAGGAACCCAACAACAATATACCCATCACGAACAACGGTGACAACAATTTTCTCGTGGCAGTTGGATCCAGCAATGATTTTGGCTATCATGCGTCCCGCCACACCTTCACTGAAAGAATTACCTGTGGAGACGTAGCGGGCAATCCGCCTACCATTCCTGCTACTCCTTCACCAACTACAAGGCCATCGCAAAGGCCCACCTCACGACCTTCTCCTTTTCTAACAACTCCTCTGCCCACAAAGGCCCCAACGACTGCACCAGTGACCCCTTTGCCTTCTCCTGGGCCATCAAAGAGCCCTACTTTGCAACCCTCTCCATTTACAACTCCCCAACCAACCAGTTTGCCTACAAGCATGGCACCAACAGCTGCCATAACACCAGAACTTGGCCCAAGCTCTCTCCCCACCAAAGTAACTGAAATATCAACAATCGCAACTCCCCAGCCAACAATTCAAACCCCGCAACCTTCATACCAACCGGTCCTTCCGTCCTCCGAATTGCTACCAAGTCAGACTGAACAAACACAAATGCCATCGTCAAGTCTAACGCAAGGGCCGTCAACAATTCCCGTGAACGACCTTCTTGAAGCATCCATGTCTGGTCTAAGCATGACTCTTTTTGGTGTTGCATCACTTGGACTTGCTGATGTTCAGAATTGGGAAGAAGCCGCTGCATTGCATTGCCAGCGTGTTCTTGTTCAACAGGACTCTATCATTACATACTCTACAACCTTCCAAGTTTCAAATGTGCAAGACATTGTCCGTGGGCGTCGCCATCGCCGTCTGCAGGAAACTGTGACTTTGGAATACATTCAGAGCATATCCTACTTGGCATCTGACCAGGTTGACCTTGACTACATGTTTGCTTTTCCATTTGATGACCCTGATTCCAAGACAGCTTTTGTGGATAGTCTGAAGACCTATGGTGGCGAACTCAGCAAAGTTGGGTACGTCTCCGATGTGACCATCCCTCCAGACGACAGAACTACAGCCCCTCCAGCACCCAGCAACGAGTCTGAAGGTAGTTCCTCGGTGGTGATTATAGTCGTCGTTGTTGCGGTTGTCTGTTTGCTGGCAGGAGCAGGCGCCTTTGTACTCTGCAGGCGCCATTCCCTGGCTCCTTCCAAAAACGAACAGACTTTTCAAGGCTCTGCGGACAAAACAAAAAGTACCGAGGCAATTCCGGGTCAGAGCAGCAGCCATGAATCGGGCAGAGTGGCCCACCAACAAACACATGCTGTTGCTACTTCAATGCTGGAGATTCCAGATGCTCCCACCGGAGGGGCTGTGTGGTCCCAAACGATGATCAACCTCAAACGGGACGGAGTACACGATGCTGCGAATGATGACGATGATGTCCCAATGACTATAACAGCCGTTCCCCACCCTGTCCCGGTGCCTCCATCAGAGGCTCTCGATGGAAAGAGAAGGATCAGTGATCGTTCGGAGCGTCGGCGCGGCGACAGACAACAAGCTGACACTGTCCCCGTGGCAAAAGCAATCCCTCTGGAGTCAATTGACCCGCCTGCCGATCCTCCATCATCGAATCAGGGATACCATGCGGAAAAAGCACTTCTCTTTGATGATGATGATGACAACGAGCAAGCATAATTTGGTGCGAACAGGTCGATGTGAGAGGCTATGTTGTACAAGAAATGTCCATAACCAAGTGCATAGTACTGTAGGTGTACCGTTATTCTATCCCATCCCATGTGCTCTAGCTAGCTAGCTCTTGCAGTGGTTTTGCTTCTCTTTGCAAATTGTGAGACGAAAAGTTGCGCAGAGGAAAACCTGATCTTCGCTCGCCATCCCATCGTAGTCTTTGATTACCACAATCGCCACAGATGTTGTGTTTGTGGCTGTTTTTGTTCCTTGAACTGTCGTGGACTCGAGTCCCAAAAGAAATGAAGATCAGGGAAGGAAGCATAGATGGCTTCATAGAACACGCGTGCTGGCATCTCAGTTTGTGAATCAGAAAATGCGAAGTACTGATTCTTAGCAGTCAATTCCTTCATCTTTTCCAAGTTGTGGTGAGCATCCTTGTAGCCGATCCATTCTCTGACAACCCGGAGCTCTGCAGGAGCACCAGGACGGACCACATCATGTTTGGTCAGAACCCAGGTAGCTAGTAGGTTCAGAAGTGCTGTGAATGGAAGCAGTGGTAGTGTTTTCAGGCGTCAAAGAAGACACTGGTCTGGTTTGAAGAAGCTCGGAGGTTCTTTTGCGGTACCGAGAGTAATCATGAAGACTCAGCTGAAGGAGCTCAGCAAGCCGGGTGCAACAGGAGAGTGACAGAAGGGCTTGTGGAGATACGGTACTGATATTTGAAAGTGGGTTGCTGGCTTCTATTCTATCGGTATGAGTGATCAGCCCTACTCTGAGACGTAAAAGCTTCTGCTGGTGCTGAAGCGGATTCTCATCATGAACGATGTACTCATGCACTCTGCATTGTACATGTACTTTCATACTTTCACCACTCACCACAGAGCACAGAGAAGTTGCCGCCTCACGTCAAAGAGCTCAACCAGAGCAATAATGCACCCCCCCCCCCACCCAACAGCTCTCCCAACTATGCATAACCACAATCGATGTTGCGGAATTAACCCAACCTTGAGGTTTAGGCCTTTTCTTTTCTTCAAGCGCTGTTTCTTTGAAGGGGTTCCCAAAGGGGCATCGTGAAGTGCCCATTGATTAATTAAATCTGTGAATTTAGAGTTCTTTTTTAAAAATACATCCTATGTAATAGTCCCGAACATCTTCAAGAGAAGATGGGAACACTGAAGTCCACTAGAATTACTCCTGCATACATTGATGATCTACTTCATCCTAACTAAACGGCGATTCTAGCAGATCACGTGAGAAAGTTGGATGAAGTTCTCCGCAGGCTTCGAGAACCCGGACTTAATATCAATGCTACCAAGTCTCTTCTGCAAGAGGAGAACTTGAGTACCTAGGTTACTGGATACTTGAGAAGGATCCAAACACGTAACCAAGAAAATAGACTGCGATCAAGAATATCGCTCCTCCACCAATAGGAAGGAACTTGGTAGATAATTGGACTAGGAACTACTATCTTAGACAAAAGATGTTGACGATCACATGTACCGGCCCCACCCGCTTCGTTGACTTCCAAAAAACAAGAAGTGGAAATGGGAAAGCTGAACACGACAAGGCCCTTTAGCCAGATAAGATATGATCATCAGGCAAAGGAAACTTGCTCGCCTACGCCTTGAAACTTCAACGATACATTCGTTATCTCACACGAGATGCGAGTGATACTCAACTAGGTGCGGTAAATTCCCAGAAAGGTAAACCTATCGCGTTCTACGCAGGAACTCAACCCTGCATCAAATCACGTTACAGTATACGAGAAGGACCTTCTCAGTATCGTAGAACTGTGAAAGAGTTCCGTAACATTTTTCTAGGTACAGAAGATTCGTTTACATACGGATCCACGAAGATTTTTACATGTAAGAATTCAATACCGATCGCGTAATGCGATGGCGCTTTATTCTGGAAGATACGGCCTGGAACTACGGTACATCAAGCGAACAGAACGATCGTGCGCTGAGGGTTGTCGAGATTAACATCCTCCAACAACGAGTGTTCTTCAGAACAGATGGACGGCAGCGAGATCGCTACTCTATGCCTGCAGACGAAGAGACTTCCTAGGCGAGTTGTCCTCTCTCGTTCCCCGAGATCGAACATCGTTCAGAAGTACGACAACGATATTAAGAGCTCCTCAGGGACAAACACAAACGACTACAAGAAGCAATTTCCCAGAGGGGATAATTCCTACACTTAGTAGTTTAAAGGACAGAGAAAATCGTCGTATCTAAAACTATTGCAGAAGAAGGCTAGTTGAAATGGTACCATGGTGTGCTGATGCATCCCTGGCGAGACTCGCAACGAAACTAACCATCAGCCAACTACTACACCCCTTGGAAAGGACTGCGCAGGACTGTGCGGGCGTATGTAGCGTTGCCAAAGCTCAAGATGAACAAAACAAGACGCGTAAGCTGGGAATTGATGCCTCCAAAAGCTTGCGAGGAGATCCCTTGGGAAAGACTATGTATTGACCTGATAGGCCCTTACTAACGTCGGGGATCCTAAGAAAAGAATTCCTGCACACTTCAATTGCTTGGACAATGATGATCCCGTAACGGGATGGATTCCGAGATTGAGAGATCATGCTCGCAAGGCAGCAGACAGAATTAGCATCGCTAGAACAAGTGTGGCTTACTCGGTATCCATGGCCTGCTGAGTTATCATTGGATAGAGGAAGCGAGTTCACGAGAGGTCGAAAGACCCGGGATGAATAGGACTTCGTCGCAAGTTCATCACCACGCGTAACCCTCAGCCAACTCTATGGTCGAGCGTGCTCATCAAACCAGACGCGACTTGATCGCTGATTCAAAACATAAAGTGCCAAGACACCTCGTGAATGATCCTGGGATGGAGTCTTCACGGCGGTTCGCTTTGCAATGAATGCACGATTCATACCACCTTGCGTCAACGCCCGCACAGCTTTGTCAATCGTGACGCGATTCACAAACGTCCGGTTCGAAGCCAACTGGAGTACATTAAGGAACGTCGCCAACGACTAATCCAACAAAACAACGATAGGGAAAACGCACGCGTGTCCCTCATCAAACAATGTCAACGATACAGTGATGATTCAACAGTATCAGCACCGCAAGAACGGTCAGCCAAGTACAAAGGTCCTTACACATAGACCGAGTCAATGACAATGGCACTGTACGGCTCCAACATGCTACCGCCACGGCGGCCAAGTTACCAGACTTGGAACATAAGTATTACACCCATACAAGGCCTGATCCCCTGTAGGATTGCCATCGTGCGACGCACATGTACATGTACTACCAACGAGGCTTCGGAACGGCTAGTTAGAAGGATCATTGCGTGATTCTCTACTCTTGTCATATGGCTTCGTGCTGTTTTCCCCCGCGCCTTCTGTGACCCTTGTCAGGGGGCGAATGCAATACACGGCTCTTAGCCTTTATTCGCCGACTCGATCCTAGATAGGGTTTGAGTTCGACTCAATGACCGAGTCCTCGTGAATAGTCATTTGAGACGAGGTTCTCAATGACCGCTCGGTCATACTAGTTTGATGATGAAACATCGCTCTATGATATTTAGCCAGCGTGGAGTACTTCTACGCTACTAGATCCAGGCTAGACAAACCTTCCACGCGTCACGTTTTAGGATCGTGGAAAACGTAGGATTACTACCAACCCTACTCTATCACACTGCTTATATATTTGGTCTCCCGGGATAGCCAGATCTACGATCCTTTGATGATGATCTCTCTCGTCGATTAGTTTTCATAGCTTTCTAATCTCTCTCATAACTTCATTCTCTCAAACTCAAAAACACTCGAAAGATCTTTACACTAGCTTTAGCGTAGTGCAGAATTGTTGTAGTGGGGGTTGTTGGCAAAGTGAGAAATGCGCACCATGGTCGGCTTTTTCTGATATCTTGTCTGCTGCCTCTCAAATATTGTGGTACTTCTCATATTGGCAGGTCGCCCGGTCACGCGACCTGCTGTGAATGCCGCGGATCTATAAAAATCAGCAAAAAGTCGCAAAGTAGCATCCAAAGTCGCATCAAAAGTCGTACAGAAAGTCGCGTGGAGTCGCATGAAAGTCGCGTGCGACTTTCTCGCACGCTTTCTATAAGCAAGGTGACAGAGTCGTGTAGGATCGCTGAAAGTCGTTTGGAAAGTCGAACGACTTTTAGCGATCCTACGCGACTTTGATCGATCCGGGACTTTAAGTCGCATGACGGGGCCTTCCTGATCGTGATTGAAAGTCTTTAGATGTGAAACATCTCACACTTCCGACTAACCGACAAGAGCAGGTTAAGGATATGTAGCGTACCAGTACCGCAAACTGCACACGATGTGCGCTAGGTACCGGCAGAGAATAGAGAATACTTCGGGTTGGGGGTGAATTGGCCATCATGATATCAACCCTATAGCCGTCTTTTTCTCTCTCTTGTACGAGCAGCCCCAGCTTGATTCACTCTTGATTCTCATCTATCTCTTTGGCGTTTGGCAGCAAAGGGTCCCCTCCACTGCAACCGGAGCTGGTTCGGATTGGTCAACGCAGACCACCGTTTACGTAGAAATGTACTAGAGCTCTACAGTGGAATCTTAGATCTTAGTCTTCTTCGACATTCGACAGTCGACAGGCAACACGTAAAAGTACATGTAGCCAGAGTGTTGCAAAACAAAATACTATTATTTTAATAATAATAATGATGATAAAGTAGCTGTCCACCTTCACTTATTAAAGAAATCGCTGCTTCGAAGAGGCTGTTCCTTTATGGTTGCTTCTAT